TCTACCGTAATCTGTCCGAATCTCTGGAAACATTTGAGTGGTTTTCAACGGTGAGTTTCTTTCCGACACGATTACATTTGAACGTAGTGTTTGTATTGAATTTTAGTATGGTGAATGGGATACTAACTTTTCCACCTGGAGTCGACTTTTGGCCAAATACATGGGGGCTTTTATCATGTACCTCATTGCCAAACGTTTGAAAAAGAGGTTTGTCAAACTCTGTCTGATTCGCTTACCTTGGATACGTTTTTCTGTTGCAGGCATAATATTGATGATGAGAGAAAAGCTTTGAAGGATGCTTTCAAGGAATGGATTGATGCAATCGGACCGAATAGAACTTTTATGGGCGGTTCTAAACCCAATCTAGCTGATCTTGTAAGTATTTTCTATCACTATTTGCATGTATTTGCAGCTTTCTGAAGATGAGGCCTTTAGAGATTCGTTTACAGGTCTATATAACTATTTGATGATAAACATCTTGTTTTTACATATAATACCAAGTCACTGTAGATAATCTGCGGTGCATGGATTCTCAGAATCCGCTATCAGGGTTTGGAAATGTGTCCGAGAATTGATAAAATGGTGGGGACGTCTCAGCATTTTGAGAAGATTTGGGATCCGTCACGAGTTTTAGGTGCATATCGATTGGTAGAAACATGGATTCGCGCTATCTACGCCTAGAGGGCGAAGTCGCGCTATCGATTGGTCAATCCTTTATCCAAGTTTTCCTCAATCAATACTTATCTAATCCTGGTCCCTGCGGTCGAGATCATGGTTCTACTTGATGCATATATTATTGCAACATCTCGAGCGCATGAATGCGCGGTGTCACATTTGAGCGGTATGCGCGCGGCGCGCGACAACTAGCTAAGATTCGCCGCAGATCGGGCGTAACACCACATATTCTGAGTGCAGAGGCTTGAAGCGAATGGCTGGGCTGCGCTTTTGTACATACCGAGCTACTGTATTCGTGAGAAGGGCTATTGATGCTGTTGTTTTAGGCAATGTATGGCGCTATGACAGCGTTTTATGGTTGTGGAGCATTCGTTGAAGCTGTGGAATCTAGCCCGATCAAACATTGGTATAACGCTGTGCGTTCGGCTGTACAGAATCATGAAGGTCGTGAAGTAGTCGCCAGGAGGACTGCACTTACGGCAATTCAGTCGAAATAGGCTTACTTTTCTAGGAGTGCATATAAAAATATTTCTACAGAGTTTACTTAGCTCACCCTCGCTGTTGATCAGTGATAGACTGCCTTTTATACTTACTTCTTCTTGTTCTGTTCTTTTGTGTTTGTTGAGCATTCCTCGTTTTCCTTAGGATACCGTAGAATAGTTCACAGAAGCTTTTGTTTGTTGTTTGTAGTGTTGACTAGTACAGTCGGGAATTGCTAGTCTTGTTGTTTTATTCAACATCTTTACGGCATGTGGTTCATACCTCCTCGTTGCCTTTAATCTCACAATAAATGCGTTTGTTTTATAGAACTGTTGGGTTTGTTTGCGTGTTGGGTTTGTCCATTGTTTATCGTCGTAGTCATGTTTACGCCACGCAGCCGTAACGATCTCCTCACTGCCGATTACCGTCGTAAGCACCGTTCGTTTCCCTGTTTCTTAGGTGGGTGTCCTTATTGAAACTGTGGCAGGGCTACGTTTTTACAGTCTGTTAAAATTGTGGATGACAGAGTCTTTGGCGTTGAA